AATTTATAAAATATTAAAAATTTATGTATTTATTAATTGCTCAATCCACGGACAAAGAAAAAAATATTTTCCAATTTCAACATGTTTTCTAATGACCCAAATAAGAAACATTTTCCAAAGATTAATTGAAGTTAGAATATAGAACTTTAAAATTAAAAAATATACATACATACTATACATATGTATATGTGTGTGTGATTGATAAAGAAAATTCATAAACCGTTTTATCTTTGTTGTGTTTTGTGCTTGCATTCTTTCACTTTGATTTTGGTTTTGCTTTATTTCCAATTTCACATTACTTTATCATTGACGATGAAGTTGCCGGCTGCCAGCAGGCAATTAATTTTAAATACATACTTGCATGTGTGTGTGTGTGTGCGTGCGTAAATGTGCCTACTGCATGCCCGCCTGCATTTAAATAAGCGCATGCGATTGTTTTTTCAAATGCCTTCGCAGCGCCGTCGACTGTGACAGCGTATGTGACTGCGACGCTGGCGTTGACTTTGACTTTATCGTTGTCATCGCAGGCGACAACAACAACAACCAGCGTCTGCGTTTTCTTTTTCGCATACGCGCCGATCACACATCTGCTTTGTGCATTCTGCTGCGTTCACACACAACAAAAAAAACACGCTTGTGCATGTTCATGCATGTGTGTGAGTCTGTTCATAATCCATCTTATTCTACATGCTGGGAGTGCGAGAATTTATTTTTTAAAGAATGCGACAATGTGATTGCAATAAAAACGAGTGCACATTCACAATTACAAAAACATCGATAGATAATTTAAAGTTGGAAAAAATAGGAGAGTAATATAGACAGACTTACATACATATGTACATAAATTTGTATTTTGTGAAGCGTAAGCGTAGTTCTGGCGCAATGTCCGGATCTTAAACGCATTTGCAGAAACCAAAATTATTTTATTTCATATGCCTTGTATGTGTATGTGTGTGCATGCACTGATATGCTGACTTTAATCTGGTCGTTGAACCGTTAAAATTAAAATTAAAAAACTTTTTAAAAGCCGAATATAATCTAGGATTATCTGTGGCAGTATGCAGAGTGATTTTTTATGCTTTCATGAAAGGGAATATATGTAAATATTTTTTTGGGCTTCATATGTAGATTCCCACCGCTTTGGGTACATGCCAGCTGAACTAATAGTAAGTAATCCCCACCAAATGTAATACACTCATATCAACGATTTTTCCAGTCCTCGAAACACTGCTCATAAGCTCTTTTTGTTATGGCCCTCAGCTTCTTCAGCGAAATTTAATTTAACTCTGCGATCAACTGAAAACTGGTTCCATTTCGACGATACCCATGTCTCGTCGGCATTTATAATACTCTCCGTGAATGTGGAATCGGAATCAAGCGTGTACAAGATCCCACATAAAAGATCACGCACTCGGTATGTATGTACATGTGTACAAGATGCGCCCGTTTTGGCAGGATAACTCCTTACGGGATCATCTAAAGTGAAAGATACGTGTTTTAGTTAAAACCTTAACTTAGAACTTGGACAAAGGGCAAAAACTGAAATCTGGATTTTTGGCAGACATTCTTACAAAAAATGAAAATGTCACGATTTTTTTTTTTTTTTCAAATATTGTATATAGAATTGTACCTCAAAGACCTGTGTAAAATTTCATGAAGATCGGCTGAGTAGTTCTCGAGAAATCTTACGACTTGAAATAAATATAATTTATTCTCGGGATCACACAGTTCGAAACGTTTTTAGCGGCAGTGGTCGAAAGCGGTTTCTCGTACATTTATAACACCTGCTTAATATATATACATACATTTAGAGTTAGTTGTGAAAATCATCAATGCTCCAAATACAAATGAGTAATTTGTCATCTAAGAAAAGCTAAACCACAACATCAAATATTCATTAATTTGAAATTACACATGAACACAGGTAAAACCGCATCACTGTGCCTTTGCAGCTACTGTTGCTTGCAGCTGTGACTGCGGCGTCAGCGTCAATCCTGTGAGTGATCGCACAAGTGTCTGAACAAACGAAAGTACTCTTTTAGAGGGCGGTGGGCCGTCTGACTTACTAACTGGCTGGTCGGCTGTCTCACCACGTTCAAGTGCTTGCGTACAGTGCGATTACTTTTTAGCGCTCACATGTTTAGATGTGTGTGTGTCGCATATTAAGGAGGCAGACAGAAGTAAAAATCAAACACAATTCAAATTCAAAATTACTCTGGTTTATTTTGTCTGCATATAATTATATGTATGTACATATGTATAGCTTATAAGTATTTATATGCTTATGAGTATGTTTGTACAATATATTTGTATGTATGTATAATTGTTTCTTTGTGGTTTCGTTTATGACGTTTATGCTTTTGTTTTCCACAAATGCGTGAGTACCCTTTTAGTTGTTTCTATTTTTGTAATTTCACAGCCGCTGCCACTGTCAAAGTCGACGTCACTGCTACTGTAGCCGCTGGCGCTCACTTCAATTGCTTAAGATTTATTGAAGACAACGCATGTGACGCCGTTGTGACCTAGTGATACCCAGCTGACATTTGACGTTTGAAAGTTTTCATTTGAGGTTGCGCATTATATACATACATATATGATGTACATAAATTTATATATTCAAAATATTGGATTTCTCGAAGAAAAACATATAAAAAACGTGAAATTTAAGTTTTTGGATGAAAAACCCCCCCATTTCAGGTAGCAGATCAACAATTTTTGAGAGTAATGGAAGTCTTGGAACGAAATGAAATGTCATTGCTGTATGGCGAAAACAACCTTTTCCGCTTTATCAGAGACTACTAGACCAATGCCTTGCAAAAATGATTTTCTTCACTCTAGTTCTGTTCCTGAAGGGTGTTTTTTTTTTAGATGTATGGTTTTCAATAAAGCAATACTTTATTTAGAGTCGGTGTTTTTGGCATCTGCTATCTGATTTATACTCGCGTCGTGGACCTTTGGCATGATCTCCAAAATTGTAAGACTATTTTGAGGTTATGTGGAGTCCTTTGACTACGAAGATAGGTTCGAGACGATTGACGTTTTGGTACAGATAATTCCTAGCGTTATTGCTGAGATAGTGAATATTGTATCCCTTGAACGACTAAATGTAGTACGAAATTAGCTTTCTCCACTGCAGTAGACAAAATGTATTTAGAGGGTTCTACGAACATCTTCACATATTTAGATAAAATATTTAATAATCGATGACTTTATTTTAGGCTAAGATCGACGCGCAGTTGGCGCAAATGAGTTTCCTATTTATCATGGCAGGTTATCAACTTTAAATTGTCAAATAAAGAAAATCAATAAATTTTTCATTGGTAACGAATTGAATATTAGGTGGATTGGAGATCATATAGGTATAGAAAGTAATAAAAAAGGGAATTTTTTTGGTCCACGCTGCAGCAGTAACTCTGCCACATCGCTCAAATTCAACTTAAAGCAGTCTTCCTTACAAGAATACACTGTGAGTATGGGACGAACAAAAAATTGCGGCTATGGAAATGTTGAGATCAAAGATATCAAGGAAAGTATATTTTACAACTCAAGGAGATCAAAGAAATATTATATTGCCAGTTTTAAGGAGGCTTTACCCTGGAATTTCAAGCTCTTAGTATATAGCATAGTAGAGGAATGTAGTTTATACGCTGGGATATGAATGACTGCGCACTTTCACTATATTAGGGCTGAATATCACCCAGTTCCTATTAGCGCCCAATCTCCTATATATGTATGTATATAAATATCTGTGAGGACTATCGAACACATTCTTGTATAGTTTTTTGAGAGAAGAAAAGTAATTTTTCCCCAAAGTATTTTAATTGAAGTTTGGTTTATACCTAAATTTCAAGGTTATGAGCAGCACTTCGTTAAAAAGTAGAGATCTCCTAAAACATGTATTTAAGGGGTCTCGGAGATACAGACGTGAAAACTTTTGTGCTCGAGGCTAGTTAAACTAAGTGCGCCGTCTTTAAACGCGTTTTTTTCGAAACTGTGTTTTTGAAGTTGGTTGGCAAGATTCTCGAGAACTACTTAACCGATCTCCATGAAATTTTACACAAGTCTTTGGGACACAATTCTTAACAACTTGGATGAAGGATTTTACAACGATTACAACTATTTGAAAAAAAAATGTCCCAAAATTTAAAGTTTTTTGGAAAAATGTCTGCTAAAAATCCAATTTTTAGTTGTTTTCATCTTCCAAGTTCTAAGTTAAGGTTTTAACTAAACCGCGTATTTTTTCACTTTAGACGATCCTGTAAGGTGTTGTTCTGGCAACGTGGATGCATCTTTTTTCCGAAGAGTCAACGAAATTGTCGTCGCAATACCCGAGTTTAAAATATTTTTTCCAAAAATTTCAGAATTTCTTTGTTAATATTGTAGTATATGTTTATAACAATGGACTCTAATAAAATATTTAATTTTTTTATATGCTGAACAAAGGCTGTTTTTTACTCTAGGAAACCCATGTAACCCCTTAAATCCTAATAATTTTCGGCTCTTTCGTTTCACACGGTGCCAGTTACTCTTAAATACCTGGAAATAAATTTCAAAATAGGCTGTAGGCAGTACTCTTATACACTCTCTAATAGGCAACGGTGTCAAAACATTTTTTCTTTATTGGGTGTAAACGCCCGCAGAAGTGCACGCTTTTTGGTCGGCTGTTCGTCTCGTGTGGGCAATTTTGCAGTCGCAGCGCCGCAACAGTGAAGAGACAGTAGCGCAGCCGCAGTCGGCGATCGAACAGCTGCACAGAAATGTTCGGGCGCTCGACTATAACAATTTGCGATCAGCAAGCGCTCGATTTAGTCGGTGTAACGCACTCGACGCGAACAGACTAAACGTAAATAAACATTTTGAATACGAAATAAATGAATAAAATTAAGCACAAAACATAAATTAAAAAGGAAATAAATTATAATAAAATAAATTATAATAAAATAAAACCATCTTAGGCTCCAAGTTGTACGCCGCGATCAGCAGTTTCCATACGACACTCAGCGCACTTTTCACCTTTCTTTCAGTCAGCCTTATTAGTTGTTTTGTTATTGTTGTTCTGCATTGAAAAACGCGTGTTTTTTTTTTAAGCGCAAACGTCGAGACGACTGGGAAGACAGACACCGCAGCACAACATAAAGGTGGTTTGCGAGCTGACAAGAACACGCCAGCTGCCACTTGGCCATTGCAGCGCAGCGCCATTCTAATTGACGTCTGCAGTGAAAATTTGGGAAAAGCAGACCACGTTGCATTTAGATTTCTTTTCGCAGATTTAGCATACATTGCCACACACAGAACCGTTAGCGACGCTGCCGGCTGCTATTATCGGCGAACACTTCCCAGCCACGCATTTTTGCAGCATTCTTGTTGTTGTTGCTCTCGTTGTGCGTGGGGCTGTAAAAATAACGAAGCGTCGTACTGTGTTGGCACTTCTGAGATCACATTTCTTTTGTTGTTGTTGGTGTTGTTGATCGTGCTATATAAAATCTTTTTATACGCGCCACTTTTTGTTGCTATTGTACGGGTGAATTTACGCGGCGACAACAACCAGTTGACCGCATTTGGCGCCAATGAAAAATTACAACAACAGCAACAGAGCGGCGAACACAAAACGTAAAGAAGGAAAATTCGGAGCGCGGTTCGCGTGATGCGTGAAAAGTGAAAGTGCAATGAAGTGTATTTTCTAATTGGCAAACAACAACAAAACACAACTACCAATTCAATGAACATTAAAAGTGTGTAGCAAAAAAAAAAAAATTAATAAAAAAAAAATACTAATAAATAAAATTTGAGAAATAATTTTGAAATTTTTTTACGAAAAATTTTTTTGCTAAATATTCAAAACAAAAATTATAAATTAACCACTTTCTCAAATCAAACAACCGTTATTCGTTCACTAACAATACGAGAACCAATATCCAAACAATGACGGCAAAACTGAAATCTGAATGTAATGAGAAGGCAAAGGAGAGTATCAGCGAAGAGAAGTTAAAAGATTTGCTCACCGAACAGTTGGAACGTGTTGGCACTGGCGGCGCTTTTGTTTGGTAATTATTTGCTCCATTTTCTAATAAGTAGCGTAATAAGTATCTTCAACCCACTATAAATACAAACAAAAACAAACAACATACATACAGAGGTGCGCGGTGCATGAAAATGTATCGATTCGCTTCCCTGCCCTTCGTCTGTGTCTGTCAATCAATAATTTCGGCATTTCAAAATATATTTCTTGCAAGCAATTGACGCGAAAATAAATTGAAAAGAAAGTGCATCAACTGATGATTTCAAGAGCTCAAAGCAGATAAATTATGGTAAATGTGAATTATTTGTTAAGCAAAAATTTTCGAAAATAAATTTTTTTTTGGAAAATTATTTTTTATTAATTTAATTGAGGAATGGTTTTTAGATGCGATTGATTTCAAATTTTAATTGTAAACATATTCGAGCAATGCCAATAAAAGTAAATGTTGTAAAAAACTAAAAAAAATATTAACGTTAGCTCCATCGAAGCCATAATACCCTTCACAAGTTCATATTTCCTTATTTGACCTAGATTTTTACGGCAGCTGTATATTGTAGTGGTCCAATCGGAACAGTTTCTGCGGAGATTGTACCGTTGGCTCGGACAATAATGCATTTCAAAGTTGTCCATGAATAAGTTTGAACGTTCAGTTTGTATGACAGCTAAAAGTATATTCTATTAAGATCCGATATCGGCGGCTCCGAAAAATGAGCAACTTCTTGGGGGGAAAATGATGTGAGCGAAATTTCAGACCGATATCTCAAAATCTGGACTAGTTCGCGTACACACATACGAACAGAAGGACACGAATAAATCGATTCAGTTTATCATAGCAAACTTAATATACCCTGCTCAGTGTATAGTTAAATAAAATTTCCATAATTCATTAATTATCGATCGATGTCCATTATTTTTGCGAACTCTTCGGCTAAATCAAGTCTATAATCTAGTGTGACATTCAAAAATGGCCGTTCTTTGTTCTATAGGTTCACGATAATTCCTCATACGACATCAGAGACGCTGATCGGTACACTAATTTTGGTATAAATCATCTTTAAAGTCCTAGAAAATAAGCGTTACAAAATATTCTTGAAATAATTTTATATTTTACTTAGAGGTGGGCTTCGTTAGATATTCTATAAGTTGTTCGAAATAGACTATATTTGTTGGAGAAAAACGTGCAACCATCTGGCAGAGCTGTAAATGGCTGTAACACACTTAAAATCACATGTCTGTTTCTCACAATCTGTTCCTGCGACAGTTCGGAACGTTAATGCTTTCTGTCAATGCCGTATGCTTAACATTAAAAATAACAAACTTGGATATGAAATTATCAGATTTGATAAAAGAAAGTTAGAAGACTAGTTCGGCCAAGTTCTTAAAGCTGCTAAAACGCTTATGTTATATTAAAAAGAATATTTTATAATGAACCTTTTATTGGAAAAAAAAGATTATATGGATTATATATACTGCCCGATCTAAACAATTTTTTCAGGGATTGTCCCGTTGTCTTGAATAATAGAGCCTTTCAAATTTCGAAAAGATTTTTTAAGTAAAAGAGCTTTTCATACAAGAACTTAATTTTGATCTGCGAGTTTTGTATGAACACATTATACTATAGTGGCCAGATATCGGCGGTTCCTTAAAGAAAGAAGAACGCGTACAAAACTTTGGATCTCAAAAACTGAGAGTACATACAGAGATAGACATGGCTAAATCAACTCAGATTGTTACGTTGATCATTTAGATGTCTATTTTATGGATTCTCCGACATTTTCTGTTGTGTGTTACAAACTTCGGGGCAACAGAGGGCAGGGGCTAAGATATGCTTGTCGTAAGAGACGACGAAAACCCAATATGCACCATCTTTGTATTTCGGGCTTGTCTCTAAATTTCGGTCTATACTTGTCAGAAATTGCGCTACACTCAGCTTGAACTGATATTATAGGCTTTGAATGCGTTTCCTTCTAATTAAAAGGCATTTGAAGTTCAAGCGACAAATGTCACCAGTCATTGAGTTTGAGGGATGCTCAACTGGTAGTAGCAAAAGCTACAAACTTTGACCGGAAACTTAAATGTGGTAAGGTGACGAGGTAAGCAGTTATCCCTTAGAGTTCGCTCCAATCTGCTCGTTGAGTTTGGCCCTTCGGGACGATTCGTGGTGGCTGTGGTTTAAACTTAAAGGCAGGTAACCAAAAAAATACTTGCAAAAAGCATAAATTATTTGGGGCGCTAATCAGCGCACTGTTTTCTATGTGTTTTAAAAAAGCATCGTGAGGTTAGGCCTTTGACGACAGGTACTCACATAAATCACAACGATGGTTATACACTGTTCACGGTATAATTGTAATAGGCTTCTAACAAAGCTGGTCCTAGACTTATCGATTTATTACCTTTTCTCCATTGGAACTCTAACCCGATAAAAGAGCGTTCAAGATAATTACATTCTCTCTGCTTAATTCTGACCTGTTGCATAAAATCTTTCGTATGTTTCAATACCTCATTTTCGCATATAAGAACACTTTATGATATTGAACCAAAATAATTAGTATCTAATTTATTTGACAAATTCTCAATAATATCCGATGCATAATACTAGGCACATTTTAACGAGAACTACAATTTGGCGCCAATAAATGCGCATGCAACTATTTTTGTATTCCACATACAAGTGTCTTCAATAAACGCTTTAGAGGTGCTATAAAATTTATTTTACATACGATATTGACAACATTTTCAAAGAAAATTTAAGAGGCAAAATAAACAGTCATCAAGTTTTTGACTAAAATTCTGGTGGAAAAAAAATTTGGCAAACACATTAAACTGCACAGACCTCTAAAGTGGCATAACTCAAATTTATTAGTTTTTAAGAGAAATTAAAAATTGCAACTTTTTACAATACAATTTTTGAAATATTAGTAAAAAAATTTAGTTAAGAAATATGTGATTTTCAGCGTAAAATAATAATTTTTCTCATGAGACTTCTTAGTAACTTTAAAGCTGTTTATGGAGAAAATTTCATCTGGATTTCTGTCATTTTAGAAGTTTGCTTGCAATTTTGGCTACTTGCACGTTTGGTTTGACATATATGTATTACACATGTAATACATAAAATATACATAGGTAGTTATATATTAATGGTGTGTACAAACTTGCATATTCTTGCACAAATGAGCTTTCGAAACATTTTTAAATGCAAAGGTTTTGAGCTGAATACGGGCAAACACACGTCCAAGAATGCAATTATCAATGAAAGCACATACGAGCAAATAGCATTTGTAAACGTTTAATGATGAGAAAAATATTATTTGCAATGAAACATATTTACGTTTTCATTATTTGTCGACACTTCGGTAGTACTTTGGAGCCATAGTTTTGTTAAAAACATTATAGTGCCAAAAAAAAAAAAAAAAAATTGTAACTAATAATTCAAAGGTAAATATAAAACACATAAACTTCATATGTAATGGAGAATGTTTATTATTATTCGAAAGAACATTTTTTGACATTTATTTTTTGAAGCTTATCTCTTTCAAATGTTGGCCGTGGCTACGTCTCAGATGGTTCAGCCGTAGAGTGCAATTTTCGATGACTCGTTCGAGCATTTCGATTGGTAACTGGCAATGGCAAGCGTGATGCTTTGGTCCTAATCCTGAATCGAAGCGGTATGGTCCGCATAGATTCTAGACTTTACATATCCCCTCAGGAAAAAGTCGAACGGGGTGATATCACATGATCATGGTGGCTAATCGGTCGGACCAAAACGTGAAATTATCTAGTCACCAAAGTGTTTTCTCAATAAATTCATTGATTGATGCGACGTGTGAGATCACGAGATGTGTATTTTCTCATTAGGGATGTACTTACCAAATGAATTCAAAATCTTTTTCAGTTACTCATAAGTAACCAAACTGTAGTCAAAAAATTAAAAACAAAAACATTAATTTCAGTTGCATCGAAGCTATAATACCCTTCACAAATTCAAAAATTTCTATACAAAACTTCATTTTGTTCGGTCAGTTTGTATGTATATCTACTATGCTTATACTATAGTCGTCCGATCTGGAAAATTTGACGGGAGATATAATATTAACATTGCCTTGGAATATAGTCCATGCTAAATTCGTGAAGATGTCTCATCAATTAAAAAAGTTTTCCATACAAGGTCTACATTTTGACCGAACATTTTGTATGGAAGCTATACAAGTATGTTATGGTAGTACGATCTGAAAAATTTATGGCAGGATTGTACCGTTACCTTGGAAAATATACTATACAAAATTTCGTGAACATTTTTCGTCAACTAAAAAGTATTCCATTAGGGCGATTCAAAAAAAAAAATTTATTTTTCGTTTGGTACTTTGAAAAATAGGTTCCTAGACACCTCTAAGGAAGCCTCTCCAAGAATGAGTTCCTAATTGTAACGGGAAGGTCCTCCAACTTACAATTTTCTATTTTTTCTTATTATCATATAGAAAACTTTATATCTCGCTTCCAACTACTTGAAAAAATATCTTGTTCCTTAGATTTTGTAGAGAATTGAATGCTCTACAAAAAAGGTGTGTACGATTTTTTCGTAAACCCAACCGTTTAAAAGATATTAACAGTTAAAGTTTGATTCCCACGACAGTCGGGTCTACGAAAACCGGAACGGACCCTGATTTTTATCCGGCCAAGGACTGTCAACTCGGCAGAATTCTGCCGTTACAACAACAACAACAACAACGAAGAGCGTGTTGTTTGAAAATGTTTCACGTGAAACAAAAACTTGTATAATTAAAATAAAATAAGTCCATTTATTTATTTTACGTATATAGTTAAATATAAGCCCAAATTTATATTATTATATTACAATACACATAAAAGGCATTACCCTAATCCATATTTGTAACTCTCTACATACATATATTTCAGGGTCATATGACATTAATTATTGCTATTTTAAATTTTTTTGTGATTGATAATCACAACAACCAATTTTCTCAACTTTACGACTATGTAATTTTGCATGTTGAAATAAATTAA